AGGAGTTGCCAACCAATGCACCGGCTGAAAGTGGAGGCCACTTGGAAGGCTAAACTTTGTGGCTGTATCAAATGTCCTCCCTGAGACAGCCCCAAAACAATGCAATTTCCTTTCTCAACCATCGCCCCAATAAAGAAACACCGCTGCGGATGCATCTAGCCATGGCCAGCTGGAACGGCATTCTGGGCACCTTGGTCTGCCTTTGTAAACAGCATGTGCACACCCAGGGCTCACTGCACACGCTTGCACACGCCACACTCATGCACACCGCTGAGACAGGGTGGGCATGAGGAGGGCCCTGGAGCCTGAGGGTTACAGAATGCTCGAGACTGCATTCTCCTCTAGGATCTTGTCCTTTGGCAAAATGAAACTCAGAGGGTCAGAGTTTCAGAGGGTCAGGAAATGACAAAGCCAAACCTCAAGCTCTGATGTTCTGGCCACAAAAGGAAATGCAGGCACAGCCAGCTGCCTAGAAAAGGGGAAAACAGGGCTACCGTGCTTCTTGGATTGTTGCCCGATTTTTCTCTTTGACCATCACTAGCCATGAAGAGGCCCTAATTACCAGGCCCCTTTGTACTTACCTGGAATATTGGGGGGCTCACTTCCACACATTTATTGAGGGTCTACTATGTGCTATGCACTGTACTAGAAACTGAATTGTGCCAAAACAGTTCCTGCTCTCTGGATGTTTATATCTGGCAAGTGAGAGCAGCAGAAAAACAAATGATGGCAATAGAGTAACGGGGAAAATAAGAGAAGACATACACATGTCAAAAAAGTACAACTGGGCCAGGTGCAGTGGCTCATGCCTGTCATCCCAGCACTTTGGGAGGCCAAGGCAGGCAAATCAGACCTGCCTCCTCAAGGTCAGGAGATGGAGACCATTTTGGCCAACATGGTGAAACCCCGTCTCTACTAAAATTACAAAATTAGCCAGGTGTGGTGCGATGCACCTGTAGTTCCAGCTACTTGGGAGGCTGAGGCAGGAAAATCGCTTGAACCCAAGAGGTGGAGGCTGCAGTGAGCCAAGATCACGTCACTGCACTCCAGCCTGGGCAACAGAGCGAGACTCTGTCTTAAAACTAAAAAATAAAAAAGGTGCCACTGTGTCTCTCTTAGGGAGGAAGTTGGGGAAGCTTTGCAGCCATAGTGACATCAGGTGAGGATTTTGCAGGAATTGTCAGGCAGGTGAGAAATGGCGTTATCCCTGGCCGAGGGAACCATGCAGGTGGAACTCAACGATAGAATGTGGCAGCCAAGTGGAGTCAAGAATGACATCCAGGCCGGGCACAGTGGCTCATACCTATAATCCCAGCATTTTGGGAGGCCGAGGCGGGTGGATCACCTGAGGTCAGGAATTCCAGACCAGCCTGGCCAACATGGTGAAACCTCATCTCTATTAAAAATACAAAAAGGTGGCCGGGCACAGTGGCTCACGCCTGTAATCCCAGCGTTTCAGAGGCCAAAGTGGGCAGATCACCTGAGATCAGGAGTTCAAGACTAGCCTGACCAACATGGAGAAACCCTATCTCTACTAAAAATACAAAACTAGCCAGGCATGGTGGCACATGCCTGTAATCCCAGCTATTCAGGAGGCTGAGGCAGGAGAATCGCTTGAGCCCAGGAGGCAGAGGTTGTGTTGAGCCAAGATCACACCGTTGCACTCCAGCCTGGGCAACAAAAGCGAAACTCCATCTCAAAAACAAAACAAAAAAACAAAAACAAAAAAATAGCCAGGTGTTGTGGTGGGCGCCTGTAATCCCAGCTACTCAGAAGACTGAGGCAGGAGAATCACTTGAACCGGGGAGGCAGAGGTTGCTGTGAGCCGAGATCGTGCCATCGCACTCCAGCCTGGGCGACAAGAACGAAACTCTGTCTCAAAAAGAAAAGAAAAAAGGAAAAAAAAGAATGACCTCCAGGTGTTTTGTCTTGGACAAGTGGGCTAATCATAGCACCCTTATCCCACATGAGAAATACTGAAGGACAGGCAGACATATAGAGTAAGATGGTGAGTTATTCCCCACCATCTTGATTTCGAGTTATCTGTAGGACAGTCAGGTGTAGGATCAATGTGCACCTGGACAAGTGAGTGTGGAAAAGAGTGTAGAGGAAAGAGGCCAGGTAAGTAACCTCAGCAAGAGCATGGTATACTATGGCGTAGATGGGGTAAGGAGAGGAAGATGGAGCATGTAGGCCACTCCTAAGCTGGTGCAGTTAAATAAGAAGGAGGAGAGCAAGAGTCCTGCAGGCTCACGGAATACAGCCATCAAGTTTCTAGCACAAGGAAGGGATGGGTGATCCTCCATTAATGTGAGGCTAAGGGTGCACATGGACAGGCCAGCCTCAAATCAGAAGAGGGGCTACTCTCAGCTCCTGGAGAGAAGAGAAAGACAAGCAGGAGAGGAGGTAATGAGGGAAGTAGGGACAAAGGGGGACAAGAAGTTGAGAACTGTGTTTTGTTCTCCCTTATGAAAATAGGCTTAATGAAAATTGCCTAGGTCATTTGGTTGTTTTTTAAATGACCAGGTAAAGTCTTTGTTTTGTTTTGTTTTCTGGCCTGGTGCAGTAGCTCACACCTGTAATCCAAGCATTTTGAGAGGTCGATGCGGGTGGATCACTTGAGGTCAGGAGTTTGAGGCCAGCCTGGCTAACATGGTAAAACCCAGTTATCTACTAAAACTACAAAAAAAATTAACATGGGATGGTAGTGCGTGCCTGTAATTCCAGCTACTTAGGAGGCTGAGGCAGGAGAATCGCTTGAACTTGGGAGGTGGAGGTTGCAGTGAACCCAGATCACACCACTGCACTCCAGCCTGGGTGACAGAGTTTTTTCATCTCAAAAAAAAAGTATTTTTTCTTTCTTTCTTTGAGACAGCGTCTGTGGCCCAGGCTGGAATGCAGTGGTGCGATCATAGCTCACTGCAGCCTCAAATTCCCAGGCTCAAGTAATCCTCCCACCTCAGCCTCCCAAGTAGCTGGGACTACAGGTGCGTACCACCACACCGAGCTAAGGTAAAAGCATCTTTACAGAAATAAACTAATTCTAAGTGTACTCTAATTATACCTCTCCATGTGATACATACATTTATTAATGATACAGCAAATGCCTTGGGGAGAAAAGATTCCCAGGATCTGGCAACACTGAATTATTTCACTGAGATTCCTCAAAACCACGAAACAATAAGTTTCAGCTGATAAATACATGAAATGTCAAACACTGTGAAGACTTTGACTAACCCTACTTAGAATAATCAAAATCAATCGGGCGCAGTGGCTCACGCCTATAATCCCAACACTTTAGGAGGCCAAGATGGGCGGATCATGAGGTCAAGAGATCGAGAATATCGTGGCCAACATGGTGAAACCCCATTTCTACTACTAATACATACAAAAATACAAAAATTAGCCAGGCATGGTGGCATGTAGTCCCAGCTAGCTACTTGGGAGGCTGAGGCAGGAGAATCACTTGAACACAGGGGGCGGAGGTTGCAATGAGCCAAGATCGTGCCACTGCACTCCAGCCTGGGTAGCTGAGCAAGACTCCGTCTCAAAAAAAAAAAAAAAAAAAAAAAGAAGAATCAAAATCTGTGAAAACATAACATAGATAGCTGCTCATCTGATTAAAAGGCTCTCTGAAGTTCTCATGTCCTATTCTTACAAACTCAAGAACCTGACACAAACTTCAACCTCCAAATAGAGAGGCAGCTCCACTGTACAGAGCCAAGTAAAAATGCCTTTGGTGGCTGGGCACAGCAGCTCACACCTGCAATCCCAGCACTTTGGGAAGCCAAGGGGGGAGGATCACTTGAGGCCAGGAGTTCAAGACCAGCCTGGGCAACATAGTGAGACTATCTCTACAAAAAAATGAAAAAGTGAAAAAAAATTGCCTTTGGAGACAGAAGTTTGAGAGCATTTTGAAGACTTTTATGTGCCGAGAAATTTCAAGCTTGAAAGATCAAAAGGCAAGAAGAAATAAATATATCTGGTATTTTGAAGGATCAAGGGATCAAACTGCTCATTTGACCAACTGGAGACTTACAAGAGCATTGGAATGTGGGTCGGATCCAATGTGGATAGAATTCAGCTCTGGGCTTTTAAACCCATTACCCACTGGGAACAGGATTCCAAAGGAAAATGGCAGGTGTATGAATACGTGTAGGGTCCACATGATAGGCCCTGTCTGGCAAACGCCCACTGGCATGCTACACCAGATGGAGAAAACAGACATGGGTTCCCTGTCTCATGGATCCCCCGGGTTTACACTGCAGGGCACATTGCAAAGGAATGAAAGCACCCACCACAAAGGGAATACCAGAGCTTGGGCCAGAGGGCAACACAGTAGCCCTCCCACTGCTTATGAAGGCCTAGGGCAAGAGAGAGGGCTAGAAGGAAGGAGGGGACAAGCATGTCCCCTGGCACCGATGACAGACTCGTCAGCGAGAGCCAAACCAAGCCCCTCAGTGAGTCACACAAACTGTGGAGTTTGAACTGAACATCTACAAGGAGCACGGAGGCTGTGCTTCTCCAGAGTCCCGTTTGCTGTGCCGGGAGCATTCCCGTGGTGCTGTCAGGGTGCCTGGGTGGGGCTTCACTCTGGGTTCCAGAAGCTACTGCTCAAATGCCACGTCCTCTCATCAGGACAACTGAAAGCTGGGGAGAGGAAAGGGAAGACTCCAGGGAACGTGACTCTGACTTCTCAGAAAGATGAAGCCACGGATGCCACCGCACCTGGCTGGGAGTCAAAAGGCATGACGTGGTGTGGGAGCGAATTACAGAACCTCTCGGGCAGGAGCTGAGGGCTTGAGTGTCCAAATGAGATACAGCCTCCTCTTCCTGATCCCGTTCTTTTCCTCTTCGAAAGGTGCTTTGTGCATTTTAAATTCAAAGGAAGGGTTTGGACAAAAGGGAGGCTGTTCCATCCAGAAAGCACGTACTTGTCAGGACAAGCCGTCTGCCAGGGCGTCTGGCGGGGAAGGGTTGGGGGCCACGGGCTTACTTACCCGAAGTCCTCGGGCAGTGGCAGGGGCCCAGAGCACCTCCCCACTGTGAATCAGAAGAAGGGCATTCCTCCACTGTTACCAGCTCCTCCATCTCCACCAAAACAAGCCGTGCCTTTCCCTTTCCCACGTTCCCGGGTCGAGAAGCAGGTGTGGTCCTTTGCAGCAAGTTGACATCAACGAAAAACACATTCCTTGGCCCTTCGATTCCTATTGACACATGCAGTTTCTGAGGCTGAGTTACACCTGACCTCTGGGTCAGTCCCTGTTTACTCATCCGCACAACCCACTCATGTATCAGATAATGACCCAGCCCTTGGATATGACTCCTGCTTGGCCCCAGGAGGAGTGGGCAGGGTGTCAGGGAGACCTCCCTCCAGGGGCTCACGGGCTGCCCCGCACTGGTGATGGTACCCAGGAGGGCCTTTGCATGGTATCTCTTCATGTAAAACATGCCCCTTCTGACCCCCGCTTCCTCTTCATTTACTTCCTTGCATTTATTCATTCATTCACAGGATAGATATTGGGTTCCCCTGGTGCCAGGCTCCACAGAAAGTCTTCAGGGGAGCCAGGTCCAGTGGCTCACATATGTAATCCCAGGGACACTAGAGGCTAAGGCAGAAGGATCCCTTGAGCCCAGGAGTTCAAGACCAACCTGGGCAATATAGTGAGACCCCATGTCTACAAAAAAAAAGAAAAAAATGAGACAGGGTCTTACTCTGTTGCCAGGCCAGAATGCAGTGGTACGATCTCAGATCATTGCAGACTCAATCTCCTGGGCTCAAGTGATCCTCCCACCTCAGCCTCCATAGTGGCTGGCACTGCAGGTTCACACTACGACACCCAGCTAATTTTTGTATTAAAACAATTTTTTTAAATTAGCCAAGCATGGTGATGCACACCTGTAGTCTTTAGTTACTCAGGAGGCCAAAGCAGGGGGATCACTTAAGTCCAGAAGTTTGAGGCTGCAGTGAGCTATGACTGTGCCACTGCACTCCAGCCTGAATGACAGAGCAAGACTCTGACTCTAAAATAAATAAATAAATCAGAAAAGAAAAGTGTGGAGGATGTAATAGTGAACCAAACCTGGCATGATTCCATCTCCCACATGACTTACCTTTCAGTAAGAGAAGACATCAGAAGCAAGCAAGCAAGCAAATAAATAGGCCAGACAGTTTCTGTGAATAGGAAGGGCTTTGGAGCACATGGAGACTAGGGGAGGGGCTAACTTAGTCCTCTCTGAGGAAGGGACACATCCTGAGGGATGAAGGGCAAGCACATTTCAGGCCCGGGCCCCTGAGGACGGGAGCCCAAAAGGAAGCCGTGATGGGGGTTCGAACCGCCAGTGTGAAATGGAAGCCTCAGCCAGACGAGGCGTGTCCTCGCTCATCAGACACAAGCATGCTCTGGCCCAGAGCAGGATGGCCTCAGGCCTGGCCTCCACCCACGGGGCTTCCTCCTCTGAGGCAGAGAACTTTGAAAAGAAGTCACCCACGTGGTTGCTCCTCACTCTCCCAGAAAAGCAGCAAATGTGGCTTGTTACACCAGGGAGAGAGGCCGTCTCGGTGAGGACACTCTGGTGGCTCACGATTGGCCTGATTTCCTCAGGTGACAGGAGAGGGTCAGAGTCCACTGATCCTCCAGTCACTGTCCTCCAGAGACCCCAGCCAGTATCAGTGGCCAGTCAGCTCCTGCCAGCGCCTCCTGGAAACTGCACCATTGCCCCACTCTTGGGCAAAACTCTTTTTCTCAGAGGGGGCTGATGCATGCACAGCCAGGGCCCTGGGCCTGGCTGCCCAGCTCATCTTCGCTTCCAGAAACTTCCCTTCTCCCTGCTGCATGGGATCGGCGCCAGGCCACATCGTGGCTTGGCTTGGGGGCAGCGTGCCTCCCTCCTGAATGTCGCAGCTCCGTGTGCTTCCCGAGGTGACTAATGACCTTGATTCACATTGGTGAAGTAATGGCTTTCCTCCTCAACCTTCTCATCCATTAGTCACGTTGCAACACGGCCCTGCATGGCACAGAATGCATTCCCAGGAGCCAGCTCAGGGCATTGCAAACACCTCCCAGGCTCGGCTTACCAAACTCACAGTCACACAATCAGCCCAGGTGCCCGGAACTGCCTTGGCCCGCTGCCACCAAAGTCCCCACAGCAGGGACTTGGGAAAGTGTGAGAGCAGAGGCCAAGGACTGGGGCTCAGGTCCAGGTCTCCCCTTCCTCTGTAACTTTGGGCAAATGACTTAACCTCTCTTGGCTTCTGCATCTATACACCGCCACTAACGCCGTGAGCACTGGGGAAAAGCAAATGAGAAAGTAACTGCGGAAACACTTTGTAAGCTGTTATAAAGCACCAGAAAATGACAGTGGTTCAGTCCCACGGAAAAATTGATCACGATGGGTGACCGCTGGGTCATTACCCAAGGAGTTTGTTTGTTTGCGTGTTTGTTTGTTTGTTGAGACAGGGTCTTGGTCTGTCACCCAGGCTGGAGTGCAGTGGCACAATCATGGTTCACTGAAGCCTCAGCCTTCTGGGCTCAGGTGATCCTCCCACCTCAGCCCCCTGGGTAGCTGCAACTGCAGGTGCATACCACCACACCTAGCTAATAACATTATTTTTGCACTTAATCTTAGCCAAAAGGCTGAGAAGTGATATAATTTTATCTTTTGTAGAGATGGGGTCTTATTGCACTGCCCAGGCTGGTCTCAAACTGCTGGGCTCAAGGGATCCTTCTGCCTCAGCCCTTCAAAGTGCTAGGATTACAGGCATGAGTCACCACGCCCAGACACCTAAAGATGGCTCATTTCTATGAGGAATAGAAATGATGTCCCTGAATCCATTTCTGGGACATGGAAAGACAAGCTCATAACACAGTGTTTTTAGTACAGGTTGAGTATGCTCCTCATTTAAATGCCTAGGGGGCTAGGCACAGTGGCTCATGCCTGCAATCCCAGCAATTTGGGAGGCCCAGGTGGGAGAATCACTTGAGGTCAGGAGTTCAAGACCAGCCTGGGCAACATGGCAAAACCCTGTCTCTACTAAAAATACAAAATTTCGCTGGGCGTAGTGATGCATATCTGTAATCCCAGCTCCTCAGGTGGTTGAGGCACAAGAATCACTTGAACCCAGGAGGTGGGGGTTGCAGTGAGCTGAGATCGCGCCACTGCACTCCAGCCTGGGTGACGGTGCAAGACTCCATCTCAAAAAATAAATAAATAGCTTGGGAATCACAGTGTCTTGGAGTTTGCATTTTTTTGGATTTTGGAATATTTGCCTAATGTACCTATCAGTTGATCATCCCAAATCCAAAAATCCAAAATCTGTAATGCTCCAGTGAACATTTCCTTTGAGCATCAGGCTGATGCTCAAAAAGTTTCAAATTGTGGAGGATTTTGGGTTTTTGGTTTGGAACGCTTAACCTATATATCAGTAAGTAAACTTCCTGTGTAAAATCTAAGAAACAAACCCCATGCCACATTGTAAAGCATTGTAATACGATGCCAAGAAGTGTCCATAGGTGTATGTATAGTACATTCTCTGCCCCAAAATCATTGCTTGGAGACTTGGGATTGGAACCTACATTGCATTAATGGCTGTTATTTGAGCCTGCGAGGAGATACAGTAGGTAGATTCAACAATGGGCTCAGACCCCTGTAGTCCCAGCTACTCGGGAGACTGAGGCAGGAGAATCGCTTGAATCCAGGAGGCGGAGGTTGCAGTGAGCTGAGATCGCGCTACTGCACTCCAGCCTGGGTGACAAAGCAAGACTCTGTCTTTTAAAAAAAAAAAACAGAAAACAAAACAAAACAAAACAAAACAAAAAAACGGTGGGCTCAGGCCACTATCACTGATGCAAGTAATCTTGTAGCTTCCAATGTATATACTTAAGGAAGAATTAGCAAGTTTTCGAAAACTGCATGCCAAGTTAGTGGCCAAAAAGAATCCCTGCCCTCCTGCCTAGTGGAACTGTCTTGCTGCTCACATGGGCCCATCCTTTTCTGTCTTTCGCTCTTTTTTTTTTTTTTTTTTTTTTTTGAGATAGAGTCTCACTCTGTCGCCCAGGCTGGAGTGCAATGGCACGATCTCAGCTCACTGCAACCTCCGCCTCCCGGGTTCAAGTGATTCTCCTGCCTCAGCCTCCCGAACAGCTGGGATTATAGGCACCTGCCACCATGCCTGGCTAATTTTTGTATTTTTCATAGAGATGGGTTTCACAAGGTTGGCCAGGCTGGTCTCGAACTCCTGACTTCATGATCTGCCCACCTTGGCCTCCCAAAGTGTTGGGACTACAGGCGTGAGCCATCGCGCTCAGCCAATTGCTAAATTTTTACCATTCCATTTTATCAAACAAAAGAGAGGCAGGACTTGGATATTTCTTCATCCACAGGTAGTAAGATCAGGCTAATAATGGACAGGTGCAGTGGCTCATGCCTGGGTGACAAGGGGGAGACTCTGTCTCAAAAAAAATATATATGTGTGTGTGCGTGTGTGTGTGTGTGTGTGTATCAGGCTAATAATGATGCTCAAGGGCAAATTACCAAGGATCTGGATGTAAATGGCAGGGGGCTGGGGGTTGGATAGGAAGGGACAGCAGGCCAGTTGGCAGGAGGGTGTTCACTGCCCTCCATGCACCAACCCCAGCTGGTCTCCTTTCCTTGATGGCGAAGCACCATTAGCAGGCCTCCTCTAGCTCTGGAAGCAGGAGTCTTGTCCTTGAAAATCATAGAGTTTAGGCTGGGCACGATGGCTCACACCTGTAATCCTAGCAGTTTGGGAGGCCGAGGTGGGTGGATTACCTGAGGTCAGGAGTTCGAGACCAGCCTGGCCAACATGGTGAAATCCCGTCTCTACTAGAAATACAAAAATTAGCCAGACGTGGTGGCTCGTGCCTGTAGTCTCAACTACTTGGGAGGCTGAGACACAAGAATCCCTGGAACCCGGGAGGTGGAGGCTGCAGTGAGCAGAGATCACGCCATTGCACTCCAGCCTGGGCGACAGAATGAGACTCCATCTCAAAAAAAAGAAAATCATGGAGTTTGAGCCCTGGGAGGCTTGGGCGAATTCAAAACCAAGCACAGGCCTGGCGTGGTGGCTCACGCCTGTAACCCCAGCACTTTGGGAGGCTGAGGTGGGTGGATCACTTGAGGTCAGGAGTTCAAGACCAGCCTGGCCAACATGGTGAAATCCCTTCTCTACTGAAAATACAAAAACCTAGCCAGGCATGGTGGCAGGCGCCTGTAATACCAGCTACTCAGGAGGCTGAGGCAGGAGAATTGCTTGAACCGGGGAGGCAGAGATTGCAGTGAGTCGAGATCCTGCCACTACATTACAGCCTGAGTGACAGAGAGAGACTCTGTCTAAACAAAACAAAACAAAACAAAGAGTGCAGTTCATTCCTCTCCCTTTCTTCTCCACGATCTGAGAGGGAGAGTTTAAGAAACGCAGATGCCCAGGCTCCACTCACAGCCACTTAGAAGCAGGTCTTTCAAAACTGCCATCCCTAAGACCACCCTCTTCGCTCCCCTCTACACATGGTCTTCCCCAGCCTTCCCCATCACAATCGAGAGCTCTGCGTTCCACCTCCAGCAAACACCTGGAGACTGTCCTTAACTCATTCCTCCATCATGTTCCACATCCAATCCATAAGAAAAGAATGTCAGCACCACCTTCCCAAGAAATTCTGAATTACGTATCACCTCCCCTAGCAGCCAGAGTCACACACGGCCCCACAACCAACAAGGTCCTCCTTACAGGACCACACCCCTGCTCACCGCCCTCACATAGTCTCTTGCCACCATCCAAGAGCAGCGTCCTCCTCCAAGCTTTGGACAGGCCACCCTCATTCCCCTCTCAGGGCTTTTGCCCCAGTTGTTTCCTGCCCTGGAATGCTGGTCCCCTAGTCTGGCTCCTTCTTCCCTTTGTGGAATTGCTCGTGCAGACGCCGTCTCTGATTCGCTATCTAAAATTTTTGCTCAGCCAGGCACAGTGGTTCATATCTGTAATCCCAGCACTTTGGGAGGCTCAGGTGGGAGGATCCTTCGAGCCCAGGAGTTCAAGACCAGCCTGGGCAACACGGCAAAACCCCATCTCTACAAAAATATTTTTAAAAATTAGCCAGGCATGGTGGTGCACACCTGCAGTCCCAGCTACTCAGGAAGCTGAGGCGGGAGGATCACTTGAGCCCAGGAGTCTGAGGCTGCAGTGAGCTATGATCACACCACTACACTCCAGCCTGGGACACAGAGTGAGACCCTGTCTCAAAAAATAAAATATCCAGGAGCAGTAGTTCACACATGTAATCCTAGCACTTTGGGAGACCAAGGGGGGTGGGTCACCTGAGGTCAGGAGTTCAAGACCAGCCTGAGCAACATGGTGAAACCCCGTCTCTACTAAAGATACAATAATTAGCTGGGCATGGTGGCGGGCACCTGTAATCCCAGCTACTCAGGAGGCTGAGGCAGAAGAAGTGCTGAACCCGGGAGGCGGAGCTTGCAGTGAGCCGAGGTCACACCACTGCACTCCAGCCTGGGCGACTGGGCGAGACTCCATCTCAAAAATAAAATAAAACAAAACAAAATAAAATAAAATAAAATAGTTGTTTTCCTCCTCTCCTACCCTCCCCTCTAGCCAATCTCTGTCCCCTTATGCATTTTTATTGTCCTTATAGCATGTCACTCTCTGAAATGATTTCTTCTTAATTTTATGTGTTGACTGTCTCCTATGAGCACCATAAAGGCAGGGTCACATCCCCCTCATTTACCACTGGAATGGAACAATTCCTGGGCCAGAACAGTGTGCTCAAAAAGCATCTGTTGATCCCTCCAAGAGTCCAGTAACTTCAAGCAAGCTGAGCAGGAAAGAGCACCAACAACTCTCGAGTTGCCAATGGCCAGTTTCAACACCTCAGACAGTGAGGCCCACGGCCGAGCTCCTGCCATTGCATCTGAGGCCTCCAGTGCTAAGGGAAAAGCCCTGGGCCTCTTCCACTTTTGGCCTCCTTCTCTGCTGGGGCTGCCCCACTTTCCACAGGAGTTGGTGACGGGGCACGAGTTGGCCCCGGCAGTCCACGCCCAGAGCCCCGGGCAGGAGAGCACCTTCTCCCTTTCTTGGCCTCACCACCAGGACCGGCAGCTTTTCAATTCCCCCATCTGCAAGACAGGGACAAAGAATGCTTTGTCACCCCACCTACTTCTCACGGGTGTTATGAAACAACTGTTTGCTCGGAAAACACTTTGAGCAACTTGGGGAAAGGTGCCCGGGGCTCAGATGACGCCTGTTGCATTCGATCCAGGCCAAGAAAGTGCTGTGCCAACTAGTCATCCGGTCACCGCCGCACCCCCCGGAGGGGCGGGAGGCACAGCAGCTTCTCCTGTGTCTGCAAGCCTGTGTCACCAAGCCCGCTGGCCATGCTGCGGTCCCAGAATCTGCCCACAAGGTGTGTGCGTGTTCCTGGGGCTGCCTGAGCCGC